CGGGTTCAATTCCCAGCACCCACAAGGCAGCTCACAGCTGTCTGTAATTCCAGTCCTAGGAGAGCCAATGCCCTCTTCTGGCATCCACAGGCACTGCACATGCATGGTGTACTTAACATTCATGCAGGCACAACACTCATACAAAATGAAGGTTCACATTTTCAAACAAAAAATAGAGCCCGGAGGGCAAAGAGGGCCGCTATGGGGCTGTGGCAAAAGATCTCCCATGTGTGTTGTTAGAGTCTCAAAAAGAAAGTGAATGAGACTGAAAACAACGGCCAGTGATGTCTCAGATTCGAAGAGAAAACAAAAACAAAACAAAACAAACAAAAACCTACAAGTCCAAGAAGCCAAATAAACTTCAAGCATAATAAAGCTGAGCATACCTATTCTAAGATACATCAAAAATAAACTTTCAAAGACTAAAATCAAAGAAAAAACTTGACAGTGGTAAAATGATCACACTTCTCATACAAGGAAATCCCCGGGACTGACAGACAGATCTCTCTTCACAAACCATTGGAAGAAGCTGCAAGCTTTTCAAATGCTATTCAAAAAGAACTGCCAATTTGTAATTTTATGTCCATAAAAAGTATTCTTAGGGAATGTAGGAAAAATCAACATGTTCTCTAATGAAGGAAACCGAAGAGTTATCACATATCTTTAAGTAAATCTTTTTTCAAGATAGATATTTAATTAGTGCCTCCGTCTAACCAACTGATTCCTAACTGGTTAGTAAGGCAGCTATTTTATAAGTGGAGATGGTGAGAGGATTCGATGAAAGGAAAGGTTAGGTGTGGTTTTAAGGGCGTTGTATGAAAAAGATCTTTGCAGTGAGAAATGATTTCATGTCTTGATTGTGGTGTTGGTTATGTGTGACAAAATGGCAAGATCTCCAGAACCCCGTGGAAGAGGGGACAGAGTGGTTAGAGCCAGAAGGGATGGAGGACAGGAAGAAAACAAGGCCTTCTAAATCAACATGAGCAAAGCCCATGAGCTCACAGAGACCGGAGCAGCCCGCGCCTGCATGGGTCTATACCAGGTCCTCTGCATGCATGACTTCCAAGTTTAGCGTTTTTATGGGATTCCTGGGTGTGTGAACCAGTGAGGCTCTGACTCTCCTGCCTTCCTTTGGACTCTTTTCCTTCCGTCGGTTTGCCTTGTCCAACTTCAATCTGATACTTCTTGTTTTATTACATATTATATCATTTGTTATATACTTATTTTATATGTATTGTGCATTTCATATATTACTTTATATAAATATATTTGTATATTTTATATATTAGATTATGTTATTTATTATATACTAATATTTATATATTCTTACTATATTTTTTATATTTCAAATTGGATGAATGAATAAATGAATGAATGAGAACCTAGACACTGGTAATAGTTAACAATTAAACTGTCATTTATGCCTGTTGGGAAAAGGAAAATCAGTTTTCTCCAATGGAGTGGCACTGGGCATATCAACCACTTCAAGGAAGGCCTCATGTTCAGGAGTAGTTGACCAACACATAATAGACTCCACAGCGTGCGTGTGTGTGTGTGTGTGTGCGCGCGCACACGCGCACACGCTTTTATTTGATTAGTTTTTTTTTTATTTCCTTTTCAGTCATGTTTTATTTTGTTTTCTTGGTTTGGGGAATCTGTTGTTGTATGGGGGTTTTGCCTGTTTTTTGAAAAAGACTTTAAAGTTGGGTAATTAGGGAAGGAGAAAATGTCTGGAAGGACTTAGGGGAAAGGGAGAATATGGCCAAAATATATCAGAACTTTAAAATTGTTTTAAATTAAAAAAAAAATAGCAAGAGCTCTTCACATGCATTTTACTGATATCAGCTTCTGGTGTGACATCTGGTATGATCGTAGGGGAAAGTGAATGGAAATCAGAAAGGCATTCTCTGTACCATGCTCACAGTTCCCAGGAGGTATGCAATGACTCAAAATGAGAAGCTAATCTTAGGAAAAGAAATTCTATGGAACCTCTTCACAGAGCAATCCCTAATAAATAAAAGCAAAATGAAACCTATAAATCCAACTGTGTAGAAGACTTACTGTCACAACCAACTCAGAAGACAATCTGAAGTGACTTTGAGGCTCAATGATTTTAACACTATAGCAAACAGCAAAAGAAAATAATCTTAGGCCCTGTCCAGTAATCTTACTATGAACAATCCTGCTGTTACTGTGAAATTGATGTGTCTGTTGTAAACTCTGTATGGAACAAAGCAAGTGTGTCAGTATCCCTAAATCAAGGTTTGGGGGTATATGCACATGTGTGTTATATGTATGCATGCTTTTGTAAACATGTGTATGTGCATGTATGTGATACATATGTACATGCATGCATGCACTCACGGACAGAGAGAGAAAGAGAGACACAGAGTGTGTGTGTGTGTGTGTGCACATATGTGTGTGTTTGTATATGTGTGTTGAATGTCTGAAAAAAGGAGATAGAACAAAGATAGTTAAGTACAAATTATTTAAAACTGAATTATCTAGAAAATAGTATAGCTCCACAGTATACTTGAAAATATCAGATTGCCTAGCTATGCTGGCTGGAAAGCCAAAGAAACAATGATAAACCTGGAAGCTGTGAATAGCATAGATGGTAGCTTCTAGACATCTACAAAAACAAGAAGCCAGGGCTCCTAGAAGAGCAGCTCCTCTAGGTCTAAGGCAGGAAGTGTACAAAAGGAGCCTGCATCGATTTGTTCTGATATTAGGATGGCGGAAGCCATCAGAAGGAACTGGGGTTGTTTCCAAAGCCCTACTGGCTGAAGGTGGGACCATGTAAGCATCAATCAGAATAACAACTGCGATGGCTTAAAGTGCATCAAATGTCTTTAAGTCCAAGTTCATGGTAGCACTTAAAATAACTGTATTGATCAGCTTTGGACAATACCAAGGAACCAATTCATTATTTTGAAAACTGGTAAATACGGGAGAAATGTCATTTATCTAATGTCAGCTGTACCTCGTGATAACCAAGTTTTAATGAGAGGATGTCTTTCTTTACAGAACCTGTAGAGCTAATAAATGAAGAAACAATGATGGCCTCCAATTAGACATAACATTTGTTTGGGGGGTTTTATTTTTTTTGTGTTTTTGTTTTTGTTTTTTGGGGGGAGGTTGTTTTTGTTTTTTGTTTTTGTTTTTGTTTTTGTTTTGGTGGTTTTTGTTTGTTGTTGTTGCTTTGCAACTCTTAATGGAATAAGAATCCAGATGATTATCATCAAAGGCTGTTAACATGAATACAGGGAAAAAGGGAAGATAGCCAGATTATAAGAGTATCCTGATGATGAAGCACAAACTACCACTTAGAGAGAGAGAGAGAGAGAGAGAGAGAGAGAGAGAGAGAGAGAGAGAGAGAGAGAGAGAGAGAGGAGCTCCTGAATAAGTCTCTAGACCTAATTACCAATTCACAGGAACAGCACCATGGGGATGCAATCAGCAAATCCGAGCTCTGGGAAACCCTACAGTGCAAACAGCCCAGTTTCTTCAACAAATAACATACAAGGGAGAGAGTGTGTCAGAGAAAAGCCTGCAGATTTCTAAGAGGCACATCAACCAGTTTCAATGGAAGAATCCTGTTTGGAGCCTGGTTTACACTAGAGGTAGCAGGAGAAATGAATGCTGACTACTTGATTTGATAGTGGTTGTGAGATTGGTTGGTCGTTTCCTTTATCTTTTCAGGCAAAATCTTGTTATGTATCCCAGCCCAGCCTCAAACTGCAACCCTCTTGTCTCAGCTCCCTAAATACTGTGATTACAGGCATGTCCCACTGCACCCAACTGATCTGACATTTTAAGTCCATAGTATTCATACATGAAATGATGTGTTGTCCCAGATCTACTTCGAAGTCATCCAGAGTCTGGGAGAAAGGTGACAGCTAAGTATGAGTGTAACGACTGGCCATAAGTGACTGTTGTGAAGCTTGGCCATGAGGATTTCAATTTTCTCTGCCATTATCCAAATTTTACATGCATATGAAACTTTTCAAAACAGAAGCTTGTTTAGTATACTCATACAGAGCCAGATGCAGTGGTGTATGCCTTTAATCCTAGCACCTGAGAGATAGAGGTAAGGAGACCAAGAGGAGATCAAGATCATAGCAAGTTTGGTTTGGCTCCATAATAAGTTTGAGGTCAGCCTAGGCTATGTGAGACCCCACTAAACACAGGGGGAAAAAAACAGAGGCTACGGAGATGGCTCGGTCGGTAAGGTACCTACCATGAAAGCCCAGACTCTGAGTTCAATCCCCAGAACCCATGCAAATGCACACATTTTTAAACCCAGTGCTGGGGAGGATCCCAGCAGATCCCTGGGGCTCACTGGCTGGCCAGCTGAATCAGCAAGCTCTGGGTAAAAGTGAGAGAACCTGACTCAAAAATCAAGGTGAAGAGCAACTAATTAAGGAAGATACTTGCATGCACACATGTACACACACACACACACACACACACATCCCATGCACACACAGGAACAGGTATACACACATATATACATGCACATAAAATTAAATTTTGAAATAAATATGACCAAAGAAAAACTGCATTTATAGAGCTAGCTGTCTCCCTAATCTATACCAGTGGGTTTTTATTCTATTCTGAGAAGCCTAGATTAAAAATCATGGTCATGACAGCAATAATATCCAGCACTTTAGAGCATATACATATTGAGTTGTTTATGGATACTGTCATCTAATCTTGATAAATTCTGTGTAGTAAATACTGAGATTATCTACACTTCACATATGACAAGCCTCAGGGACAGAGTTCTGATGGCAAAACTAAGCCTAGTTCCCACAGGTAAGCATATTTGCAGATTCTAGCCAACACCCAAGGGTGGAAAATGAAAACTGCTTTCACTGAACCTCTTTGAGATAAAAACCCCATCCATCTGTGACCCCCACCCTACCCAGCTGTGAGAAGGACTCTTTCCTCCAAACGGGAGCCCCTGTGCATGCTGGTCCCAGCAGTGGCTGGCTCACCTGGGCCTCGGTGCCTCTTCTCCATCCAGATGTAGCAATTGTTTTGGGCCACCCCAGTCTGCGAGTCCAGGAAGGGGAGACGCACACTCCGCTCTGCACACAGCCGTGAGTTGTAGCTCCGGCAATGCTCAATGGCTTCCTTGTAGAACTGGTCCCCAAGCCTACAGGAGACAAGACAGCAAAGGAGTGAGACCAGGGAAAGTAGAAACACCACCAAAGGGAAGCAGTCCCCTGCCCTCTCCCCAGGAAGACGACGCGTTTGTGGCAACCAAGCCAATGAGTACCAAGAGCCTCTACACGATTCCATTTCCTGTCCCAAGTCTACCAAGTCACTTAGAAACTCCTTTAAAATAAACCCCAAAGAGCAAACCATCAGTAAAGGTGACTACCCCTGTTCTGGGATGCTGAGATGTGGCCGGCTCCTGGAGTTGGTTCCATAGCAGTGTTCTGCATAGGCATCCAGCTGCCAGAGCCCTCTCTTTGAGTACCCCCACACTTTGTTCTCTGAAGTTGCCAAAACATAGCCAGATTGCTACTATGACAGAAGCATTTAGGATAAACCAAGACTACAAGGGCAGAGGAAATACCCTATTGAGGTTCAGCCATTCATTGTAAGAAACAAGGGCACATATGGATCTTCTAAACCCACAGTTAAAGAAAAAGAACGTTTTCTGATCAAAACCAAGCAAGAGAAGTATTTAAAATTCTGTCTGGAATTGCTGAGGGATGCTGAAGAAGGCAGAACATTGCCCTCAGTTACACAACCCCCAAAGGGAGCCCACCAGGCTCCAGTGCATAGCCCGCACCCAGTCCTGCTAAACACACAGTAGTAGGACACAAAACAAAAAGACATGATTGTGAGACAGGGACTTGTATGGAAGAGGAGAGGTTGATGCAGGTGGGTGAGCCATAAGAGAGGTCGGGGTGGTCATCTGAATGCATCATGTGTATAAAATTTCCAAAGAATAGGTTTAATTAATAAAAATTTAAACGGTGAGGCTGGAGAGAAGGCTCAGCTGATCTTCCAGGGGACCCGAGTTCGGTTCCCAGCATCCAGTCAGGCAGCTCACAGACACCTGCAACTCCAGCTCCAGGGGATTTAGTGTCCTTTTCTGACCTCCACATGCAGACACATGTATGTAGCATTTATACCCACACACACACACACATAAATATATGCATTTTAATCAGGCAATAATAATAATAATAATAATACTTGAACTCAAAGCAATTCATTGAAGATACAAATAGAAACCCATCCTGGTTTGCAGGGTGCTGACCCAATATGAACAGAGTCAATCAGTGAATGGAGTATTTCAGATAATCTGGATCTTTTGAGGCCAGCACATTGCACTTAGCATATTATGGCATTCTAGGTGCATCCATGCTGTAATATACATCAGGGTGTCCTTCTGCAGCAGACCATATTATATCCCATACTGTTCCATACCAGTTCCTCAGTCAGTGGACACCTAGATCACTTTCATGCTCTAGTCACTGTGAGTATAACTACACTCTCTATAGAAAATATATCATAATACCCTGTAAACACAGGGGCATAAATATCAAGTCTCTACTTTCAATTATTTTGAGTTCAGGCCCAAGGGTGGATTTGATGGCCCATATAGAAATTCTGCTTTTTGTTTTTACTTTCTTTCTCTTTAAGAACTACCACACTGTTTTTCACAGTGGCTCAGCCATTTCACAATCCTACCAGCATTGCACAGTATATTCCAATACTGCTTGCTACACTGCAAAATTTTAAGCAGGCTTTCCCATTTTTTTTAAGTCAATAGGTCAGATTCTACTAAACATCTTTTAACTTTATGCTGTTTGTTATTGTTGTTTTTACTAGTGTGTGCATGTGGGGGCAGGGCACGTGTGTGAAGGTCAGCGGACAACTTTGCAGAAAATTTTGTCCTTCCATCAAGGGTGGAACTGAGGTCCTAAGGCTTGCTCTGCAAGCACCTTTAGTAAGCACCAAGCATCTCACCAGCCTCCTACCGAAGGATTCAAAGCAAACATCCTACAGTTAGAGGATGCAGTCACAGAAGGTTCCTCTGTAATTCAATTGTTGGCAAGCCTCAGAGGAAAGAACAATGCCCCCTGCCCCTTGCCCACCCTTCACCTCTCACACCCTCTCCTCACCTCTGAAGATCCTCATATTCACACAGAAGGGCTAGCACACACAGAAGGTATCCCAGCAGTAACAAAACCAAACTGCCATCAAAGCCTAATAACCGCACAGCAGGAAATGAACTGGGGCGGGGGGGGGGGGGGGGAGTCGAAATCCCATTAAAATGCTATAAAATGGAACGGCACATAATCTGATGTAATCAAAGATGCTAACAAGGACCATGAGATTGATCAAAAATGAAGACAAAGTATTTGCCTGTGTCATACTAGCTTGAATGGCTCCCCCTGCTAAGGCAATATGTCTCAGAGGAATGGAACCATTTACAGGCAGCTCAACCCAGGTAACATGATACAGCCTGCCCAGGGTATCCAGCAGCAACCACCCATGCCATACTGGTGTGAACTGATCAGAATTCAAGAGGGAGAGGTTTCCCATAGTCTGTTGTTTTGTTTTAGACAGGATCTTACTATGTAGTGGGTATTCCTGCCTCAGCTACCAAGGGCCAAGATGATGGGGTATGTACTACCATCAAAATCCAAGGTTCATCCCATGAGCTTGAGAGAGAGAGAAAGAGAGAGAGAGAAGAAAAGAAAGATGTTAACTAGTTCAACCTAAGAAATTCTTATTAAAGGGAAAAAATTTTAAAAAATGAGTCAAAAGAAAATGGAAGATAGGGTAAAATTCATCTCCTAGAGGAAATAGGATTTCTTTCTTCCACATAGACTTCTGGAAGCCAGTACCAGAAAAATCCATAGTAAGACTTCAAGGCGAATTCCCCTGCCATGTTCTTCACTTCCAACGCTTTGGCCCACATAAGAGGAACGAAAAAAGTGAACTTCCTCAGAATGAACTGTGAAGTTGCCTAACCTCTGCGCCTCACACCAAATAAAGGAGAAAGCCAAACAAAGCTGGAACACAGCGAAATCAAAGTTGATCTCTGAATATTCAGTGTAGTTCTGAAAGGTGTAATCTTTGTGTGAATGAAACGTCTCATAAATACTAAATACGGTATGATGCCAGAGTGCTCACTTTCCACCTTTACATGGGTTCCAGGGACTGAACTCAGGCCATTGGGCTTGCACAGGAAGCGCCTCTAACCCACTATCTTTAAGACTGGAGCCTCACAAAGTGCCAGCCCATATCATCTATCCCCAGGGAAATCACTTTTAAACAGACCTGGTGCTGGTAGCAGTTTGAAAACAAAGTTAAAAGCCATTTTTGAAGATATGGAAAGAGAGAAAAAAAAAAAAAAAGGCTTCAACCCCCATGGATAAGTTTAAGTGGCACTTCTCTGAAAGTTAATTAGCCAAAATCTTCACGGAGCTTTCTATACACTCTAAAAGAAAATCGATGGCCAGGTCTCCCAACCCCATGGAAAGCAATTTAAACAGAAGAGAAGACAAATGTCCTTTCCAATATGGCATTTTAAAATAAATAAATAAGTAACATCCCACAAGGAAAGGATCCCACAGGTGACATCTGCATTAAAGCCACAGGGGGCAGAAGGCACAGGGACAGGCTGGCAGCATATGACTCATTTTGTGGAGTTGTGACCAGTGTGCCCCAGGCTGGAGCAGGCTTGGACCAATCTCAGCCATCACCTGTCTATACCAGACCATGGGGGCTAGATTACCAGGGCATGATTGATGTCTTGAGCTGGAGGAAGCTGGCACCAGGCAGGTTAGAGTGATGCCCTCATCAAGAACTGACCCCAGGCCACTAAAGGCTGCAATGAGCAACAGAAAGGCAAGAAGTTGCTGGGCTCTGAAAAGCCTTCCCGTCTGGAATACCAGCCGCTTTGTAAGGGGTAGGAGGTCTCTTTATAGTCCCAAATGGACAGACGGGTCCAGTCTAGCTCTGAGAACTAGATATTCCTCTCAAGAGATTCCCAAGGACCTTTCTTGAGCGTGTCTGTGGGGAGATAAATTCCAGGGCCTGAAGGGCCCTCTGCTCCTCTTCCAACCTCCTAGTCTAGAGAACGCGTTGGTTGGTGAAACCTCCTGACTACCTTGAGCTAATGCTCAGGTCCAACCCTCTAGTCAGACACTTGCCCTTATTGTCCCACAGGTTCTGCACCATAACTAAGGACATGTGTCACATCATACTTCAAAATACGCACCCATCCAGATATGATGGAACATGCCTACAATCCCAGTTTCTATAAAGTGGAAGCAAGAGGATTACAAATTCGAGGCCATCCTGAACTACGTCTCTGTCTCCAGGGGTGGGAGGGAGCATTCAAAAGCAAACTCCTCCTCTTCCACCACCAGCCTCTCCCCTCCCCAGCTTTCACTCTTCTGGGAGGGGGGAGCAAGAGGGTCCCTGCTCTCCACCCACCCCACCCAAGGTCCTTCCTTTGCCCTCACTCCATCTGGCACTAAGTTCTGTCACTTTCCAGAGTTCTTGTCTATTCACTCCTACTATGTGGCCACAAGTCCCCTGTTGCTTGTTACAACAGGACCTTGGCCTACTGTTTGTGTCTGTAAACAGAGATAAGCAGCCTGGGCCAGTGACATTTCTGATCCCTTCTTCCCTCCCACCGCCACCCTCTGCAGTGCCTCTGCCTGGCACCCTAGCACTAGTAGTGTCACCCAGCAGCCTACAGTCCCTAGCCACCCCCCAAACTCATCTCCAGAGCATTGACACCCTGCTCTTTGCACTTTAGCACGCGTAATGGTGGTATGGAAAGCTTTGTGCTCACTTAGCTTGGAATAAGCCCTGGAAAGCTACAGGCAGTTTTCCACAAGGGAAAGGGACCATTTTACTTCCCTTGATGTTGTACTGTTCTTAGAGTGGCCCTTGAAAGAAAAGCTAGCTTAGTGATAGACTGAGCTGTGTCACCCCACATGCAAAAAAAAAAAAAAAAAAAAAAAACCAAAGATGTCCTGACCCCTAGATTGATGGCATTTGGAGACAGGTAATTAGGTTATGAGGGTGGATCCTGCACAATGGGATAAGAACTAAGAAAGGAATAAACGTAAGGGGTTGGGGGATAGTTCAGCCCCAGTAAATGCTTGTCTTACA